GCACAGCATCCTCTACAACATGCTCTCCAGTGCGAAGCTGACGCCCGCGGCTCCTGAGGCTCCCAAGGCACGGGTCCGGGCTCCGTGCTGGGGCTGCTCCTGCGGTTCTGAGCCCCGGGTGGGCGAAGAGGGGCCGCTGGGCGGGCGGGCTGTGTCCCTCCTGTACCGCTGTTGCTTTTGTGGCGAAGACCACCCTAGGCAGGCAGCATCCTCTACAACATGCTCTCCAGTGCGAAGCTGACGCCCGCGGCTCCTGAGGCTCCCAAGGCACGGGTCCGGGCTCCGTGCTGGGGCTGCTCCTGCGGTTCTGAGCCCCGGGTGGGCGAAGAGGGGCCGCTGGGCGGGCGGGCTGTGTCCCTCCTGTACCGCTGTTGCTTTTGTGGCGAAGACCACCCTAGGCAGGGCAGCATCTTGTACAGCTTGCTCACGAGCGCAAAGCAAAGTCAAGTGGCTCCAGTAGCGCCCGAGGCAGGGCCCGGAGGCTCTTGGTGGGAGCTCTCCTACTATGCACAGAGGCTCAGTGGTAGAGAGGGGCAGCCGAGCGGGCAGCCCGCCTCGCTCCAGTACCGCAACTACTTTGGCGGCGAAGACCACCCGCAGCGGGGCAGCATCCCCTACGGCTTGCCCGGGAGTGCAAACCAAACACACGAGGTTCCAGCCGCGCAGCTGGAGGCCCCCTGGTGGGCCACCTGGTGTGGCGCACCGCGGCTGGTTGCCCTCAAAAGTCCACAGGTGGTCTGCGAGGCAGCCTCGGCAGGCTTGTTGAAGACGTTGCGTTTCGTCAAGTATTTGCCCTGCTTCCAAGTGCTGCCTCTAGATCAGCAGCTGGTGCTGGTACGCAGCAGTTGGGCGCCCCTACTCATGCTGGAGCTCGCCCAGGACCACCTGAACTTGGAGACAGTGGAGACCTCGGAGCCCAGCATCCTGCAAAGGATCCTCACAACCAGGCGGCCGGAGCCCGAGGGCCACCAGCCACAGCTCCTCTCCACCTTGCAGCCGGAATTGGTGTCGCCGCCAGGGCCTGGGCAGTTTCCCTCCGCCGCCGCGGTCGAAGCCATCAAGAGCTTCCTTGCCAAGTGCTGGAGTCTGGAAATCAGTACCAAGGAGTACGCCTACCTCAAGGGGACCGTGCTCTTTAACCCGGGTAAGAGGGCCGTTATTAGGCACTGCCTACCGCTAGGTTCAGGCACTCAGGAATTTTTAGTGGTGGGGCTGGGGTCGGAGCACAAGCGGAGCATCGCGACTAACTCTGCAGAGTTGGCGGAGCAGGCTCCAGAAAACACGCCAGATAGGTGAGCTGCCGTCAGAAGTTCAGCCAAGAGGAGAGGGGGGTGTTTCTTGGGGTTTGTGCTTGGCTTTCTACATATTTTTGATACTACAGAAAAGTTCTGCCTTCAAAAGACATAGGTGTTTCGTTTTTTTGTTTTGTTTTGTTTTTTTCCGTAACATAGCTTTAAAAAAGTTTTTGCTCACTGCAAATCCTGTAACGCTTTCTGAAACCTCGGTCTTAAACTTACTAGAACCTTTTAGTTAGCGGAAACAAGTCTTAAGTCTGGGCAGAAAGGAAACATGTGAAGGATCCCTATAGACTCTACCATGGGATTACTACTGTCAGACAGGACAGTGGACTAAGTATCTCACGGATCTGCCTCACAATGGTCGTTTGTGTGGCCCCCAACCTCGGGACTCTGCTTCATGTCTCTATGAATATCAGGTTGGCAAAAGGGCAGGAAAAAGATAAAGTAGGCACAGAGCAGGGGCATTACGCTTGTAAAGCTTCCAGAGATCTCACAGACTTCCTAATCCGACCTTGCCTCCCTGCACCCTTCCCCCACCCCTTTTTACAGAGCGCCCAAGTCCCCAGTGAATTTACTCGGTAGTAAAAGGCTGGTGTGATTTGGCATCTAGATTTCCTGTCTTCTGAGCCCTAAGGGATGTCAGCTGTACAGTAGTTTCGGTTTTTCAGTTGGGTGCTGGATGCTGCCGCACACGATGCAACCAAATCATTGGAGGACATGTGATACCTTGTTTGGATTCGTCCTATTAGGAGAATTACCTTCAAGCAGCGCTCTTCCAGGTTGCCTCTGTAGGAAGTTTCAGGCAACTTGAGTTGGGGTCATGCTTTATAATGTTCCTTCTAAGTCTGTACTCGTAGCGTGGTATTTGGTGGAATAATAATATTCTCAGACCTTGTATTTTATGAGCTCGATACCTCAGCTGAAGCCAGTGACTATTGGAGGTCACCCTTTTGCTTATACCATTGCTTTCCCAACTTACCTATGCAAAAAGAGTGCTGCTGCGTGTGGGGGAAGCAAGCAGGGAGTTTAAGTCTTTCAAGACTCCTCCCCCAGGATTCTGATTCTGTACCCTAAACCCCAGCCTCTGAGATCTGCATTCCTAGTAAGTGCCCAGGTGATTCTTGAGGTCCTTTGGAAAATAGTTTTCTCACTTCTTTTGGGATACAGAGGGCAGACTGGGGCTCAGCTTCACAAATTTACATTTCAAAATTTCCTGTCTGTCTTACATACTTTTTATATAATTTTTGTTTTACTTACATACACACATCCACCCCTGTGTCCCTTATTCTTAAATGTTTTTTCCTGAATCTTCTCTCGATGGTAGTTTAAGCAGCTAAACTGGATGTGTATGAAACACAAATGCACCTACATTTGGGGGAAAGGTAATGCCTATTAAGAGTATGAACTTTCTTTGCTGTTTATCCTTTTGTATTTCCTCATTTGTGTATTTTAATGTAATTTATATATAATGAAACAGAGGTAGGTTTAAACACACATATATGAGTTTAAACACAAGGAGACAAGAAACACACAAGCATACATACACATATATATTTGTATATGAAACGGTGGCATCTGCCTTTTCTCTTTCCTGACTACTTTGAATTTTTTTTGTTTGTTTGGAAAAGCTATTTTGTATAACGGGTATGGGGGGCTGTGGTGTGAAAGTAGAAAAAAAGTAATGTGGAGTTCACAAAATGAAGTTTTCAGTAGCCATGAATGTAGGCCTAGAGGCGCTTTCTCAGTGGCATCCACGCACAATAAAAGCAGGATGTCCAACTGGGCTTTGGGCTACAGGTAGCAGGGACTAATAATGTGTGGACTGGGGAAATCAGAATTGAATATGGGTTAGAAATGTGGCTTTAGATTGCTCTTACTTCCTTCATCACATGGTATTTTCCTATAATAGGAGTGCCTCTTGTCTGTCAGCATTATTATTTTTTAAAGAACACTGATTCTGCTACTTGTGATTATTTCCACAATACTCTGAAAATCTTTTTCTGCTGAATTTTGTAGAGAAAGTAAAGAAAACATTTGTGTTTATCAGTGACATCATTTAAACAAAACAGGAAACTATTGATTACTTGAATATAAAGCACTTTGCAAGAACATTGTTGTCATAGAAAATCAAAGGATTCGTCATTAATACAAAAGATTTTTTTAAAGCAGCCTCCTCTTACCATGCTCCTTATAAAACGTACATGCACTTAACCTTTCCTGTGTTGCATTTTATTCATTTTTACTTAAACGTCACACTGCACCACTGTTTTTAAAAAGTTACTTTTAAATCATGTTGCTTGCAATCCATGGCTGTTTTTGTGTTTATATTTTTACCTTTGAATGGCTGTAAGAAAATGCTGCTAAAAACCTCTCCTTGTAAAGTATTTTAGAGAACGTTTTAGAACACTCATTAGAATCACAAAATTTAACTTTCCCCAATTCAGAAATCATGGTGCAATGTGTTAAGTGGTCAGCATTAGTTTTCATATTATTATGGGCTTCTAGCGTAATATTGACCTGCTGGCAAATAATTAAAATGAAACATGTGAGTCATTTTATGGCTGTGAAGTTTTTTGCCATTGGCTGGACGATCAGTATAATGATGGGAAATTTGGGGGAAGAATGGCAAAATATGTACCATCTGGTAAGATTTCTTGCCATATTACAGTGGTCTGTTTTTCAGTTTTTGTGTCTTGAAAAAGTGTTAATTTTTTCAGATTTGCATGAAAAGTTAGTTGGAGCAGAGACTAAACTATATTCTTCTGCTAAATGAAGTGTGCCTTTGTTGGCTCGCAGCCAGTGTTTTGTAACTGTGAATGTACAAACCCAGGGAGTATTAAATAAAAATAATTACATGATGTTGCGATTTTAGTATTGTTTCTGAAAACTTACAACTAATTTGGCATTTTATCCTTGCTCTAGAAAACCCCTTAAGTAGGACGCTTGAGCACTTTCTTCATAGGGAAGTGACAGAAATGGGTGTATTCTAATTGATGTAGGAAGATCTCTGTGGTGAGCTGTTTATAACAAAGGGGTTTTTATCTCCCTCCAGACCTGCCAGGCCTTCGGTGCGTGAAGTATATTCAGGGACTTCAGTGGGGAACGCAGCAGATCCTCAGTGAGCACATCAGGATGACGCACAGAGGGTACCAGGCCAGATTTGCCGAACTGAACAGTGCCCTCTTCCTGCTGAGATTCATCAATGCCAATATCATCGCTGAACTGTTCTTCAGGCCCATCATTGGCACAGTCAGTATGGATGATTTGATCCTGGAAATGCTCTGTGCAAAGTTATGAAAGCATTTGGGCTACTCAACGTGCAGTTTACCATAGAGGAAAGATAAAACGATGTTGGCAGAAGAGTGTCAAATGTTGTAAAAATAAACTTTCTTGTTATTTTTACATGAAGAGTATTTTGTATTCAATTAAAGAAATGCTTTAGCTACAGACAGTGTAAAAACCCTCTGTTCATACTGTTTCATTGTGAAGGAAAACGTTTGCCAACAGGTAACCATACTTCAGAACGTCTCTAAGGAAAGAGCAGGGTATTATGCTACAGCAGGGTATTAGGTTGTTTTCACAAGTGGAGCCACTCTGGCTATTGAACCTATTCAAGGCAAGTTTGAAATATTAAATTTTAAAGTGTTAAACATGAAAATGATTGAAATAAAATTCATCAGGGTTTATGTAAGGCTTCAAAACCGATTTAAATGTAACCAACATAAGTAAAAAGTATATTCACGAGTAATCTCATGACATTTAATGTTATAGTGTGTGTGAATGAGAGATGACTTTATCTTCAGAGCCACTTCCATAAGCTGTGTGGAAGACTGAAATCAAGAGGCAGTTTGTAATCAGAAAGCCACCTGAAGGTAAAATAGATTTCCACACTTTTGTTTTGGGAGTTCTCTGTACACAATTGTGGATTTGAACTGAAGTTCCACAAGAAACATATATTCTATAAGGAAGGGTTACAATTTCAGAAAGCTCAACATTATAAAACCCCAATTATTCTTCACCTTTCAGCAGTGTGCCTATCACATTGAACAAGCATGGTATTAAATTACAAAGTGACTTCACTGTTGAATCCTGCTGCTCTCCTCCGCCTTGTTTCTTTCTTTTGGGTTTTTTTTTTTTTTGTACCAGGGGTCAAACTCAGTGCCTTGCACTTGAAAGGTAGGCGTGGTGCCACTGAGCTAAATCCAAGGCCCTCCACCTTGTTTCTTGTGGTGCTAGAGACTGAACCCAGGACATTCACACCAACCTATACCCCCAAGCCCTCTTTTAATTTTTATTTTGAGACAGGGCCTAGCTAAGTTTCTGAGGCTGGGCTTGAACCTGCAATTCTTCTGCCTTAGGCTCCCAAAGTACTGGCATTACAGGTGGGTTCCACCACACCCAGCTTCCTGCTTTCTCTACTTTCTTTCATTCAGATCCATTTAGCAGTCTGGTGAATCCTACGGACATCTTAGGATCAAGTTCTCAGAGTAATGTAGCAAAGAAAATACTTAGGATTAGGTTAAAAAAACATTATGTAATGAATTATGTTAAGGAAAAATATTAAACAAATATTTGAAATAATTTATAGGTGGTATGATAATATGTGTGCTTCTTTATCATCATAAAACATCAAGAAAGAAATTACCTGGTGGCAGATATAATATTTATCTTAATTTCAAAGCAGTGATCAATATAGTTCAAATTTCAAGACATCTGTGACATCTACAGTATGATAAGAAAAGATTTGATATTTTTAGTGGCGACTGTGGCGGACGTCCACATTACCGTTGCATTGGGAGATGTGTAATTCAGCAGTCAGCATATAGTTGTGTTCAGGGGTAAGAAAGACTACAGTGTTAGAGTGAGGGGAGATGGCTGCATCATAAAAGGAAAGGACATATGCCGAGTCTGGAATAATCCATGTGCAAACCTTACCTTCTTTCCCTCCCATAAGAGGGTTCATATGGGTACATTCTTGTCCAAACAATGAAAACTCAGCAACATGTCACATCTTCAGTATTCTCTGGGTTGGTCTGCCCGTATAACTTCCTTGAGATTCAGAGTTTATTGTTTTTATCAAGACTGTGGTCACGTTTTTCCTAACCTGTAACTAGTATGTATCAAAATTCCAAGAATAGAGAGTATGTGTTTATTTTGAACCACATTGTTTGCATAGTATAGGGTCAGTTGAGTTAAGGAAGGATTAGAATCCTTCCTAAATCCAAGTTCTCAAATACCAGTTGAGAGGCAATCTTGTCCTGATCTAAGGACAGTAGACTCAGACCTGCTTGTTACTTTTCTGCACAATCTACACTTTGGGCTCTTGGCCAGTGTGTCTTTACAGCAGAATTATCAGTGGAGCCCACACAGGAAGGTGAGACCAGCCAGCAGTATTGATCTATTATTTAGGGGTCCTGAAACATATCCCATTAGCAATAACGGTCTGCCTTAGGCAGCCAGGTGGCTGCCTTCCTGTTATGAATCTCCTTTACCCCCATGTCCCAGCAGAGCTTTGGCCAGTAAGTTAAAGATGACCTGAGCATTGTCCAAGGCTGAGGCAGCGTTGTGATAGGGCACTTGCATGAGATGTACAATCCCTGAGGGTTCCTTGTGGTTCCTTGAAGACCAAGAAAGGACAATGTCAGGTGGACTCGGCTGTGACCTCCTAATGTGATCATTCTCATCCTGGGATGCTCAGTGCAGTGTAATTCAGTTCATTTCATGGTTCTAGAGGGGCCCCCTGAGGCCCCAAACCTCTGTCTGTGATAGTAGTCCAACTGTCTGACTGGATGGATGGCATCCAGAGGTGTGTTGGAAGACTTACAGGAGCTGGCCCAGGGTTGTGTTGTCTCAGAACTTTTTCCATCATGTGCCATTTAGGTTCAGCCGTGAAGCTTGATCCAACAATGCTCACAACAGCACCACAATCACAGTTTTTATTCAGAAAGACTAGAAAGCTTCCAGAAGTTCCTTTAAAAAGTCATTCATGCCCTGCTCTTTCCTTTAAGCCTCCCTCTGTGTTGTTGCTTTTTTCTTCATTGTTCCAAGAATCAAGATTCTTGATTCCCATTCAGTAACCCTAACTTTCCAATTTTTCCTAATCATTTCTTTTTATTGACCCAGACATTTCTTATGGAAGAATTGTTTGCAAAATGGACAAAAACATTTTTCACCGAATAACATTCGAATATAATTTAACCAGTAAGACGCACCAAGGCCAAGAAATTGTCAGGGTGAATTCCTGATGTGCTGATATTTTTGCAAAATGGGTTTACACATCTCCCTTCAGGCCCTTCATCCTGATCATTTATCCAGTGGGCTATTTAAGCAAGATTAATTCCTTTCTTGGGAAGTCTACATTGTATGATGAAGCTGCCTCACTACACTGTGTGCAGCAGGAGAAAGACTCAGTCTGTTGTTGCAGACTGCAGTGGATCTGGAAAATGGAACATGAGTTAACAGCAGTGAGACATCCTGCCCACGTATCACAGATGGGCAGAGGGGTCACACTCCCTGCACTGTGCTCTGCTCTTAACTGCAGGTCTCTCTTTTTTATGTTTTTTTCTTTTTTTTGGTTGTTGTTGTTGTTGTTGTTTTGAGACAGGGTCTCACTGTGTAGTTGAGACTGACCTGGAACTCACTATGTAGTCCAGGCTGGTCTCGAACTCACAGCGATCCTCCTGCTTCAGCCTCCTGAGTGCTGGGATTACAGGTGTGCACCACCACACCCAGCCTCAACTATAGGTTTCACCAGAAATCATGTTAACAATGTAATCGGCTCCTATATCAGGAATATAGAATTGATCAGCAGCTTCATTTCAAATAGTCCCATTAGAAAACAAGCCCTCAGGGAATCTACAAGCGAACCAAGTGGTCCAGCCAGCATCCATAATGCTTTACAGCTTAAAGACAGATGTGCCTTCAGTTTGTAAAAGTGCAAAGACGGAGTTGTGTTCATTGAATCTGTATTTGCTTTAGGTTCAGTTCAGCATAATTGGTTGTTGAAATGGAACCGGTCCTTAGCAGACAGTACAAAGTTTCAGTTTAGGGTTAGGTCCAGGAAATTAGGATCCATGAATTCACTGTTCCCCAAAAGCCAGCGTTTTTTTTTTTTTTTCTTTTTCAACAGCAGCAGCAGTAGCAGCAGAGCTCAGGCACTGTAGGGAGATACCCATCTGCCAAGTTCAAGTAACAAGCAAAGTTTTCAAAATCACTGTTTATCTCGTTGGGGCAGATTGTTCAAATTAGCCCACATAAAAATATCTACACCTCTTACCAGAAAATCATTAGCACTTAAGGTGAGAAATCTGATTTTGCAAGAGCTCATTAGCAAAAACAAAACAAAAGCGAGATAGCTCCAAAACCTCCACTTTTTTAAACGTCAAAAGTGTTTCTCCATCTGGAAATTGGCTCCCTTTTTCCAGGGGCTCCAAAAGACAGAACTGTAGGGAAAAATCACCAGTTACAGGGCCTCATTTCCAATACTAATGTTTCAATTCCAATCTGTCCACCTGTGGCAAGAAGCAAGGGAGCTGTGTCCCATGAACATATGTTTTTCTTTGCAGCTTTCCCTGATTGAGATGATCCATGTGGCATTCATGAAACTACAAGCAGAAACATTTACACCAAACTTTATCATTCACCCAGATGCAATAGCTATGAATGCAAGTCTGTGCTTTAAAATTGCCTTTCTTTTCTCATTACAAGTTTGCTCAAATACCTAATGCTGCATTTGTCACTCATGAGGTTCACATCACAGATGCCAGGAGAGCCCAGCTGGAATGGAAGGACGGGGAAGTGGGGAGCTGCAGCAGCAGCTAGGCTGAAGAGATGGTAAGAGTGTTTGTTTTTCCTGCTTCCCTTTCTGCTTCTGCTTTATCTAACACTTCACTCCAGGTTTGAAAATAAATTTAACTGTTTTTTCCTCATACGCGGAGAAAAGAGCAACTACAGACTAAATTTTATGGTATTTGGCTCATCTGAAACCCATTGTGAAGAATGTTTGAGTCCTTTGTCTTGTGGGTTTGAAGGGAGAGAGAGAAAGCCTGGGAGAATGGAGAGGAAGGGAGATGGGGAATACATCTTCACCTGGGCTGTGCTACTTCTCCCTCACTTTAGCAGAATCAACCAACTCTACATAGCCAAAAACATCCGGGTCAATCCAGAAAGCCAACTCTTCTGTGGGTGGATTTATAATCTTCAAATTCCACAGGTACCTCTGACCACAAACAAACTGCTGTTTCATATTATGTTTAACTGCACAGCAGCCTCTAAACCAAGTTTTCCTCATCTCCCGCCTCCTTTCTGTCTTCCTCCCCTAAATACTGTAAATATATTTTAGTAAGTTGAAGTCATTCTAGCCAACCCCACTACTGCTGCAACCATTGTGCCAGTTGTCCCTGGAAGCGCTCTCACTTTCAGATATTTGCTTATAGGTCTCACAGCATTTCCCAGAGTTGTACTCATGGC